CATTCTGTAGTCTTTCTGCCATCTGAGTCAGAACTTGCCATTCTGTCATCCCTGATTTTCTGTTCCCCAAGTGTAGAAACCAAGCACTGAGAGGGGTGATTTAACAGTTTACCCTGCTGCACCTCTGCAGGGCTAAGGAGGTGCAACTGCACTCCAGCATCACAGTCCTTTCTGGTGGCCCCTTCAGTGACAATCCTGTGGGACCTGGCCCTGCTGGCACCATCTGCCTGTCTTCTCACTGTTAGCCTAGTTTCTGCAGTTTTCTCCTTTATCTACAAACCAGACTGGAAGCCTCAGCTGAAGCAGGATGGCTGTTCCACAGTTCTCAGCTGGCAGAGGGGTATCCAAGGAACCAGACTACGTCAAGTCATAGTGTGGGAACTGTCACTCTGGATTAATTTCAGCACCATGAGTCTGACAAAATGTTTTCTTTTCCCATGCATATGTATATAATCCATGAGGTTCCTATACCGTACATTAAAAAGGGGAGTTAGTTCAGGGAATCATGGAATCATTTAGGTTGGAAAAGACGTCTGAGAACATTGAGTCCAACCTTTGATTGATCACCACCTTGTCGAATAGACCATGGCACTAAGTGCCATGCCCAGTTGTTACACATCTGTTACAATTTGGGAAAAACAAGACCCTGGTCCTAACATCCAGCATATATCTCTTTCCCATTCTCTCCTTTCTTTGTACAGTAAAAGTCAGCATTCACATCTTCCTTGGATTTGTAATATGTACTCAGTACTATCTCCAAGCTTTTGGTTCCCTATGCAATCATCCTGCTGTCCAGCCATGGGTGGTTCCAGTCATGGATTCATTGGGGGTTTTGCATCCTTTTGAGGGTGCATTACTGTAACCACTACAGCAGAGCTGCCTGGCAGTTTCTAGTTGTGATATGAACACCTGTACCACCTTAAAACACAGAAACTGGTCTGTAACAGACAGATAACTATTTTAATCTTTGAAAGCCAAAGCCAGCCTGTGTAGCTCAAGATCAAAACTATATTAGTTAAGAGAACAGTTTCACTCATGTGAAGATCTCAAATGATTTCTAGTCTTGTTTGAAAAACAACAGTGTAAAAATGACAAAGACAGAGCTCTGTGTAACTTCTTGGGATTTCTTGTAGCTCATTTTGCTGTTAGCAAAGATCCTGCCTTTTTACAGATGAGGAATACACTACAAACAGTTGGAAAGCCAGCATTCAGGAGCAGAACACCAAATGCTTCCTTACAGTGGGCCACAACCCTCTAGTACTTGGTGGAATAACTGAGGAAGGACTTTTTTGGTAGGTTTAGTTTTTTCCTGATAAATTGAATGTGAATTAGTTGCATTTGTCCTCCTAACTGAAGCAGAAGATAAACTTTGGGCATGATTTATGGCCCAAAGTAGGCCTTTCCAGCATGAATGCTTATTGCAGCAGAAATATTGTTCAGATGGATGCTAACTGCTTTGATCCTTCTGTGGGGATTTGCAGGGTCTAGCAGCAGTGGAAGAATAACTGCAAGAAAGTTGGTGGCATTTTTCCACCATGGATATTCAGGTGTCCTAGAAATCTCACACTTTGAAGAACTGTCTGATTCATTGCTCTTTAATTGCCCAAATGAGCCACATGTGATCAGCAAGCCCAGCCTATTCGGGCTCCACTGAACTTACTGAACATGTGCAAAAATAACTGCAGTGCCAACGCAGCATGGCTGAGCCTTCTGCATTGCAACCACAGAATGCAGCATCAATTTCTGCTGGAGAAGCACATAATAGAAGAACATGGCCCTAAGGTAAAAATTGCAACAGTTAACTTGGGCTCAGTGACATAATTTGGCTTTTATTCCTTTTATTCTTTTTTCTCTCCTATTTTAACCCCACAGCTCTGTAGATTTAGCAATGACTTATTGTTACTTTTCCTTACCAAGTCTCTGTCTTTTAACACACTTAGAGATAATATGCACAGTGTCCCACAATGGTGGGGTGTATGTATGTGGGTTAATGTATGTGTTTCTAAAATAAGGTGCCACTTGACCATTTTCAGTACAAATTGTCCTAAAGCACAGCTAGTTCAAGAGCAGAGTTGTCCCTGCATGCACATGCACTGTGCGTGCTGTGGTTTGAGGACGCATTGCTGCCTGACATCGCACGGAAGCATTAAACTCTCACTGAGCAGAAGGAACCAAGCAGGGTTTGTGGATCAATACCACTGATATTAGCAGTATTCCTGTTCAGCACTATTTTGACAGTAGAAATGAATGCTTCTCTCTTCTACAGTCAAGCCTGTATTCTCATCTTGGTGCACAGGGTTTTACAAGCCTAATCTCAAACCTGCTGAAGTGAGAGAAAATTGCTCCTTTTAATTCAATGTGCTTCAGATATTGTTTATTAACAATAAACATTTCAGATATTGTTTATTAACAATAAACATTAAATATTGTTTATTAACAATACTTGTACTGTTAGGCATCAGATTTTGTACTTTCGGAGTGAAAATAAACTCCAAATCACTGATGAACTCCTTTACAGATCTTTGTGTCATTCTTTGAATGTTGTTCTAAGCATGGAATGATGACTAGACTGTGCACACATATCACACAACCCTGTCAATATATGCATGAAGTCTTAGTTACTATGAGCCAAGCTAACTAGCTTCCTTTTCTGGTTTTGAGGTATTTCTGAATGCTAAATTCATCAAGCACAACAAAACATGTTGCCTGGGTTTGGTGTTTTTTGTCTTTCACTTCTGACTACAATGGTCATAAAAAGTGGATGCAACAAACCTCAAAATCTCAGTTCATCTGAATGCAAAAGTCATATGGACTGCACTGCATATTCAAGTGTCTGTGGACAGTCACCTTCTGGAAAGTGAATTCCTGAACTTCATGCCCATGAAGTAAGTAAAAGATCACAGCAGATGTACCTCTAAGCTTTCCAAGGGTAGGAGAGTTTGCACCACATACTATAAGTCCTAGCAGCTTAATTGTGGCTTCCAGGTTCTGCTTTCTTCACTAACAAGAAATTTCTCCCTATCCTGAACCTTAACTTGTGTATGGTTTTTGGTTTATTGCACACTTTTTTCCATGTCACTGAACAGGTTATCCTTCCTAGGCGTTTCTTCATCTGGCATAGCTTAATGAAGACCAGATTTAGACATTCAAATTAGCACTGTTCAAGCTCTTTGAGTGACATTTTCCATTTAAAATCATTTATCCAGCTTTCACATAAACAGTAAATACACTGTTTGATGCTGCCCAATCCAAAAGCTGAACCTTATGCAAAAATTAATAAGAAAACAATCAGGCCATTTTTTGCAATTAACCAAATATTTCTAAGAATTAAGTACCGACAATAAAAACATTTTGCCAAGCTCAAATGATGCAGTGTTAATAGAGTAATGATGTGTGGTAATAGACAAACATTTCACTTTTCATTTTAAATCCACTAATTACTAATAGGCAGTTGCCTTTCACAGGGCAATTGCTTCTTGCCTTCATTGAAGAAAAAAGCATCCAAATAATTTCATGCTCTCCTTTTATCACTCTCTCCCCTTGTCAATACATCATGTTTGTGTCCACGAAGCAGTCCCACTTTTGGGATGGCTTTGACCGGGTGAGGAGTGCACAGGTAAAATCATCCCAGGACTGGTATATTTCAGGCTTATTTCTAAGTACCACATTAAGCTCTGGAGATAGCCAAACCCTCAGTGAGCTCACTGGCTACAGGAGCCTGAGGAACACACCCTGCTGACACCACTGACCTGCCTCCTAGTTTATCACCATCTGCTCTGTGTGAGTTTCCAGCCTACCTTCTGTCGCCTCCTCCTCCTCAGCCTTCATGGTAATGCTACCCCCAATACCCTCTCTGACTTCCCTTCCCAGTTAATCCTGGACCTTTTCTCACCATCCTCCACACCTCTACAAAACACTCACTTGAGACAACAGGGCACAATCCTGCTCTTTTATTCCCCTCTCTCCCCGGCAGGGACTCAGAACTGTCACCTTTTAATTGAAATGCCAGAAAGAGCTCAGGCTTAAAATAAATGGTCACAGAATCTTCTTTATGTCTCCTTAACCATCTTGCCTGAACCTGCTATGACTGTGTGGACTGTGGGTCCCCTGGGACACCGTCAGACTAAAGCAGCAAGCACATGCCTTGGTGGTGTTAAATCATAAATAAACCAGCAGCAGCAGGCACCTCCTCTGAGCATCAAGAGCAGAAGCTTCATTTTAACTCATTTAAGTCCTCTCTTCAAACACAAACTCTCTCTGTTAGACTTCTGAAATCTGTTTTACTTCAGGGAGTACAGTTCTTCAGCTGAGCTTAGAAATGAGTCTGGCAGCACAGTCCCCCGAGGCAGAAATCTCCAGAGCAGACACAGCATGAAAAGCATTGCCTGCCTGCTTTAAGATTAATTTTCCCCCAGCACTCACTGGAGTTCAGCACCACTGGCATTTGTGTCTTCAGCCCTTGGGACAGGTGGGAAGACAGCCACACCACTGATGTGTGAAGTGCTTGGAAAAATGGTTTGAAGAAGCCAGGGGACGAAATCAGCATCCTACTCCTTTGCTGACATCAACCAATTTTAGCCTGCCTGTTTTAAAGGCCCTGAAATGCTGCACCTCACTACTGTGGTGCTGGTGCTAGAGTAGATAACAGCAGAGATGCAGGGCAGATGCAGGAAAATGATGACATGATGACTTTCACGTGTTGTAGTGAGAAATGCATTTATTTCGTACACAGGTTGGTAGTTAACTTTAAAAAGACAGCTAGCACTATCATATCTAACAAAACTTCTTTATCCCCTTAAAAGTACTGCTGTGTATATCATTAGGTGGATGCTCCATCTGAAGGAGTCGATTTTCTTTCCAGGCTCAGGGTGATTGCGTGTCTGAGCAGTAACTACAATTACTGATGATGTGAGGGAGAGCTGTGTGCATGGCATTCATCAGTGAAGACTAGAAATCCCTTTCTGGCACCCCACTTCCCCTTCCTATCCCCTGGTGGTGTAATTGTCAGTTTTCTGGAAAGGGTGAAGAAGGAAATTAGCTGTGCTTCACGAACTCTGGCAGCTCCATTCCCGTGCACAGGGTAAGCACTCCTGCCTTCTCCAGGGCAAAAGCTGGGTGAGCAGCATCAGTGAATTTGTGCCTGATGGCAAACAGCACCAGTCCTCTCTCTGCATTGAAGAACAACAGTCTGCCACCACTGTAATCCAACAGGATGCCGATCCTGGCCAGGTGTTCTGTCACATGGATGTCACTCATCACACCGGTGTGAAGAAATCTATAAAGAAAGCTGCAGGAAAATGGAAACCAGAACACAGTGAGCCTCCTCATGGCAATTTACCAGAAATAACCTGCTGCTTACTTCCCATGTATTAACAGGTGGCTGAAAACAGCAGCATATCATGTGGCAGGAGCATTTTGCTCAGTACGAAGGCAAAGTGAATGTGGCATCGCTTCAAAGCCCTGCCTGGTATGCTGATGAGCCTTTTCACCTGGTACCTTTGGACTCTTGGAATAAAAGCATCTTGGATGCTTCATTTAACTAGTCATGTTCATGCATCTATGTAATTTCACACTGAAAAAAGCAGATTTGTTCAGACAAAGTGCAACTTTCATCAGTAGCAAGGCAATGCCTTACAAACCCCCAAGCAGCCTGGCACTGGCCTGATGAGGAAAAACTACCCCAGCACCCTGCAGTCCTGCCACAGTGGCAGG